ATTCTATTCTATTTCATTTCTACTCTACTCTACTCTAATCTACTCTACTCTACTCTACCATTCTATTCTATTCTATTCTATTCATTCTCTATTCTATTGTAATTCTTTATTCTATTCTATCATTCTATTCTAATTCTCTCGTGTCTTCTAATTATCTATTCTATTCTATTCATTCTCTATTCTATTCTATTCTGTTCTGTTCTGTTCCGTTCCATTCCATTCCGATTCCCATTCCATGGTGCAAATACATGCCAATTGCCAAGAGCCCAAATTTTGATCCCATGAGCATTTGGGGTACTGTGATGGTTCTAAGTGTAAGTACCAGTCATAAGTCACCTTTTTCAGTGCTGATGTAACTTCAAATGGTCACTAAATGGATGTAAGTAGAGGACTACTTGTAACTCAGATTGAAAACTAGGGTTACTTTTAGCCTTGGGATCTTAGCTATTTGGGAAACTTGATAAGTATCATCCAGGACTTGAGGTGTTAGCACACAGAAGAGGGAATTGACTTATTCTGCAAACCACCCGAGGGCGGGATTAGACATAACAGGTAGAAAATCCTTAAAGAGAAATCCAACCTAGAATTTAGGAGAAATTTCCTGATATGGAACAATTAATCAATTATGAAAGGGTTTGCCTCCAGATACTGGGTGCTCCAACACTGGAGGTGTTCAAGAAGAGACTGGATAGCAATTCGTCTGGAATGGTACAGCTTTCCTGCTTGGGCAGGGGGTTGGACTAGATGACCGCCAACTTTGCTATTCTGTATTTTGCTACCTGGTGGCTCATTTCTCAAAAGCGGGGTTGCAGTGCCATCTAGTGGTTCTGAATGGACATTTCCCATCAAGGCAATTCGGCAAAAGATTAATGGTGGATCACACACGAATCCAATCCATTGCTTCTTGCAGACGTTTCACTACCCCATTAGGTAACCTAATCAGGGACAGGTGTACTCGTTTCCCTCTATTGTGTACACCTCAATTATCCTGCAGGGTTTTGGGATTATTGACTGGTTAAAACAAGAAAAATAACACAGGGACTAGGACTGTTTGGGCAGACTGAAAAAAAAACCCAGGTTTATTCATCTGGAGAAAGTCATCCATTCATCTGGTTGCAAGGCAACTGTGATAACCATGTTCAGGTGCATGAAAAGGTAGTGTAAGAAAAACTCCCCAAAACCAGGGCCAGAAATAATAGGTATATATGACAGTCAAATTAATTTTGTTGAACAGGGCATTGCTTAAACTAGGAGTCGCCACAGTTAGCAACTCTGAGACTTGTGGACTTCAACTCCCAGAATACCTCAGCCAGTCATGCCATGCGGGCTGAGGAATTCTGGGAGCTGAAGTCCCCCAAGTCTCAAAGTTGACAATTGTCTTCGTTACTTAAGGCAATGGTCTTCCAACTTGACAAGTTTAAGACTTGTGGACTTCAACTCCCAGAATGCCTGAGCTAACATGACTGGAGGAGGAATTCCGGGAGTTGAAGTCCACAAGTTATGAAGCTATCAAGTTTGAAGACCCCTGACTTAAAAGGCGAATTGGAGTTGGGTCTCCAACCTTGGCAACTTGTCGACTTCAAATCCCGGAATTCCTCATAAAGTCATAGGGTTGAAATTCACAATGCCTGGCTGGAGAATTCTGGGTGTTGAAGTCCACAAATCTTGGTTGAGGACTTCTGGGAGTTGAAGTCCACAAGTCTTAAACTTGATAACTGTCTTCCAGTAGTTGAGTGGGTTGTCACAGAGAAGAGGGAATTGGCTTATTCTCCAAAGCACCTGAAGGCAGGGCTAGAAATAAAAATGGGAAAATTCTTAAAGAGAGATCTAACCTAGAACTAAGGAGAAATGTCCGGACATGGAACAATTAATCAATGGAAGGGTTGACTCCAGAAGTTTTGGGTATTCAATCACTGGAGCTTTTCAAGAAGAGACTGGGCAGCCAGTACTCTGGGTTTCCTGCCTTAGCAGTGGGGTTGGACTGGATTACCTCCAAAGTTCCCTCCAATTCTGTAATTTTTTTTCTACCAGCAGCTCATTTCTCAAAAGTGGGGTTGCATTGCCACCTAGCGGTCCTGGATTTCCCATCAAGGCAATTTGGCAAAAACGTTATAGTTACAGGTGAAACAATAGTGGATGACACACCTCTTGATTGTAACCGTTTAACATCTGTATTTGGGTGCACAGCAGTGGTGGGATAACCCTGCACTCTTTCTCGAGTCTCAACAACGCTGATTTTCAGCTTAAATTAACCTTAAGAGTTTATCTATCTTGAGCTCAGCTTTCCGTCTGCAAGTTCTTAATGATTTCCCCCATAGGCTGCATTTCAAAGATTGCTAAATCAGTAGAATGATTCACAATTCTTCTCCTTTTATATGACTTTCTGTCTTCTCCTTCCTGGCCGTTGTCTTGTTGTTTAAATCAGCCATAGTTTTCATTATAGATCTGTTACAATTTTACCCACCGTTACGTTGTCCTTCTCCAAATACTGTACATTTTAAAGTTTTCAGCAAGGGTTGAGGCTGTTTCAAGGGTATGAGAGGAATACTGGAAAACTTTAGAGCTGGACCATGCTGCTGCCTACAAGGAAGGCTAACATTGTTTTAAAGAACCCCAAGAAACAAGAGAAGAATCAGTGAACTATTCCCTGTGTTGCCCGCCTCATTTCTTTGTCCACCCAAGCCTTGCTTGACTGCCACCCCGTTAAAAAATTGTGTTGAAAAGACAAAATAAACTCTGCAAGTTGGAAACAGCCCAACTTCTTCCAAAGAGCAGTATGTAAGGAAGGGAGAAATGGCATTTTCTTCTGGCTCTTGTTCCCACCCTACCCCCTATTTGTCTTGGCTTTGTTTAGCTGTAGACAGGGAAAGAAAAGAAAAGAAAAGAAAAGAAAAGAAAAGAAAAGAAAGAAAGAAAGAAAGAAAGAAAGAAAGAAAGAAAGAAAGAAAGAAAGAAAGAAAG